CCCCCCCCCCCCCCCCCCAATCCCGACTTCCCACGCCCTCCGGCAGGTTCGGCCTCCACAGGCGCTCATCGCCTGCAACACGGCCATGGCGCCTTCGCGGTTTTTACGAGGGGTTCCGCGTTTGTTTCTACACGCGATTGGGGAGGTGTAGGGAGGGCCTAGCGCCTTGAAGCACACAGGAGTTCTGTGGACATCGTGGGCTCGGGAACAGGGCTCGGTTCAGGCTTCCGAGTTCAGACAAATTTAGGCTCCTCTCAGCTCGTGCTCAAATTCCCTCCTCCCAATCGTAGCCTACCTTAGGCTTAAACCCTCAAGCCCAGACTTTCGCCCCGAGTGCGGCCCTATCTTCCTAAAAGCCGACATGAAATCCGCACCAAATTTCCAACGAGCCCGAATCACCCCAATCTCCTGAGGTCACCCTCGAGCGCGCCTCACGCTGGGCCGGCGCCCTTGCGATCTTCGAAGCGCTGCCGCGGCAGCTGCCGGGCGTGCATCAGAGGACTCTGGCGAAAGTGGTGGAATGAGTTGACCGGCTTGCTAAACCTAAAATCCTACGGCTAAAAGCCACCAAACCAAAACTCCGTACCCCAAGCTATTAAGCTTAAGCAACTATGAGGACCTTTCAAAAAATCACCCGGTAATTCCTTTTTTTGCGCAAACGAAGGTCCCTGGCGCCCAGCGGCGCGTCCTTAACCACCGCCCTGCTGGCTTTGCGCTCCGGCTCCCTCTGGCAGGCGCCGGTGCCAGCCAAGGACATGTTTTGTGAGGTTTAGGGGATTAGGGGGTTCAGGGTTGACGGTCTAGGGTGGGTTTTGTGGGTGTTGAAGGACGGATTTTGGGGGGTGTCTCGTGTCTGGGGTATCTAACTCTGATCTAACATGTTTCTTCGCAAAGTCCTGGCAGTTTCTCTGTCCCAAAACCTGCACCTTGTTTTTGAGCCCTTGTTTCGCCATACCTCCCCCAGAATTAAAGACGTACAAAGAAGTGCATTATGAAAGAGTCGAGACTCTTTTTTTCCCAACTTCCCTCAGAACGCCCCCAGACACCCGCCTCCTCCGTGCTTCAAGCTCCCAAGCTTGACGAAAATTCAAAAAAAACCAGGGCTCAAAAGCAACTTGCATGTTTGGGGGTAGTGCAACATCAGCATCAGCCGGCCTCTGCTTAAACCTGGGCCCACAGAGGCCGCGCATCATCAGCATCAGCCGGCCTGTGCGTAAACCTGGGCCCACGGAGGTCGCGCATCATCAGCATCAGCCGGCCTCTGCGTAAACCTGGGCCCACAGAGGCCGCGCATCATCAGCATCAGCCGGCCTCTGTGTAAACCTGGGCCGACGGAGGCCGCGCATCATCAGCATCAGCCGACCTCTGTGTAAACCTGGGCCGACGAAGGCCGCGCATCATCAGCATCAGCCGGCCTCTGTGTAAACCAGGGCCCACGGAGGCCGCGCATCATCAGCATCAGCCGGCCTCTGTGTAAACCTGGGCCGACGGAGGCCGCGCATCATCAGCATCAGCGGGCCTCTGTGTAAACCTGTCCCCACCGAGGCCGCGCATCATCAGCATCAGCCGGCCTCTGTGTAAACCTGTGCCCACAGAGGCCGCGCATCATCAGCATCTGGGCCGACGGAGGCCGCGCATCATCAGCATCATCCGGCCTCTATATAAACCTGAGCCGACGGAGGCTGCGCATCATCAGCATCAGCCGGCCTCTATGTAGACCTGGGCGACGGAGGCCGCGCATCATCAGCATCAGCCGGCCTCTGTGTAAACCTGAGCCCATCAGCCGGCCTCTGTGTAAACCTGGGCCGACGGAGGCCGCGCATCATCAGCATCAGCCGGCCTCTGTGTAAACCTGCGCCCACAGAGTCCTCATCAGCATCAGCCGGCCTCTGTGTACACCTGGCCCACAGAGGCCGCGCATCATCAGCATCAGCCAGCGTCTGTGTAAACCTGGGCCGACGGAGGCCGCGCATCATCAGCATCAGCCGACCTCTGTGTAAACCTGGGCCGACGAAGGCCGCGCATCATCAGCATCAGCCGGCCTCTGTGTAAACCTGCGCCCACAGAGTCCGTGCATCATCAGCATCAGCCGGCCTCTGTGTAAACCTGGGCCGACGGAGGCCGCGCATCATCAG